TTCCGCCCTTTGTCATTTTCAACCGCAAGACAACGCCGAAGGAAGTAAAGTGTTCCCGCCCGGTGTTGTCGTTCGCGTCAACAAAAAGGGATACATGGACGAGGTCATGATGCTCGAATGGATACGAGTGGTGTGGAACCGTCGGCCAGGTGCCCTGCTGCGTCTTCGCAGCATGCCGGTGTTGGATGCGTTTCGTGGCCACTTAACCGACGCAGTGAAACGCACACTCGGCGACGGGAAAAAGGACCTCGCCGTGATACCAGGTGGTATGACGTCCACCCTCCAGCCGCTCGACGTTGTGCTAAACAAGCCGTTCAGGACCGAGTGCGCCTGGAATACCAAGGGTGGATGTCCGGCGACAAACCCAAGACACCGACGGGCCCCCTACAGAGGCCTCCGCTTGCGACTGTTTGTGGCTGGGTGCTTTTTGCCTGGCGCTCCTTGCCGGATTCCATGGTGGAAAATGCTTTCAAGAAATGTTGCATCAGTAACTCGCTGGATGGCACTGAAGACAACGCACTGTGGGAGGCGGCCAGCGACAAACTCTCGTTTTCAGAAGACAGTGGTGCTTTGTTGGACGAATAGGAACAGTTGCGATGATGGTTGAGGGGAGCTCCGACGATCGGGGTGCGGTGCGCCCAATTCGAAATAAATAGAGGACTTTATTTATTAATATCACTGGTGTGGCCACTTCTGGCCACGTGGCAAAACATAGCAGAGAATGCCTATTCAAAGACAATGACAGTGAACTTTACAACACAATGTACACAGATTGTGCATTACTGAAAAACACAATGAAACCTTAACAAGACAGCCACAGAAGACACGCATGATTGCAGGCTTGTGGGATTGGCAAATTCTAGGCGCGCAGAAAATAGTTCTTTGGTCGACTAATTTCTAATCGAATTTGAATACAAGAGACATGCACAAGGCAGAGGTGGAAGTGGACTTCAGTGTTTTGGAGCAGATCAGGGAGCAGGAATAATGCTGTTTTCGAGCAGCTTTGGCGCAGTAAAAACAGAGTTTTGGAGCAGGCTCAGAGCACTAAAAGGTGTGTTTTGGGGCAACGCGAGTTAGTTTCGGAGCAGCTCTTTACATCATCATAAATCAAAATTATTGCTGGTAAAGAAAAATTCTAATGGTTTTCACTAAACATTCGGTACTAATAAGCTTACCAAACTTGCCACCTGTGCATGCACGTGCGTGCGTGTGTGCCTGAGAGAGAGATACAAAACATTTTCATTTCATACTTGGCCTGAAATGAAAAGAAAAATATATTCTGGGTGGTCAAAACACAGTTGTTTATGCAAACATATCTACGACAAGGAGTTTCGCTACAGCCTCTGCAGCGTTGTACCCGATGTGTGAAACGGAGTATATATATTCGCAGTGCTCTTGGCAGAAGTTTGTAATCCCTACACTGATTAAACACACTACTCAGCTGATCTGTGCTCAGTCTGAAGTGAAGTGGGGACCAGCAATTCGCACAGTGAATCAGTGCACACAGTACAATGAGCTGCCCAGCAGCAACGGTGTATAGGCAGTGTGTGGGCATTGTGTTGCACCCAAGTAACCAGGAGATGATCAGTGTGCACGCAAACCTTCCGTGTTTCAATGAAACTGTCAGTTGTCACTCAGTATCATATCGCGGTAGAAAAGTGCAAATGAATATCGCATAAAATCGATAGTGTTCGTTCTGTCGCTATTTCAGTCGCTGCGTATCCCAGACACTGCAATAGCTTTGAAATGCTCTTTAATTGGCAACACCGCTGCGGACGATAAAATAATCGTCCTAGCGTGCCAGCCCTGTATGATCTTTTCCACACTGTGGCATAAAGGAAGAAAAGACTTTCTGGTAGATACTTCGGTGACATCTACTGTGATATTGTATTCGTTTATTGGTGGCAATGACGCACGTCAGTAGGTGCACTATTGCACTTGTAAAGTCAGACTGCCATTTCGTGCATGATCGCGCCACATTCCTGGCTAGTACAAATCATCGAGGCGTCACTGCATTGCCAGATAATTAACAGCTACTCATGTTGGTTTCACCACTATTGTGGGCAAACTACGGCAATAACAGCAAGGAGAGCCCCACGAATGACATTAATTACGTGATCGAAACTCACTTGATATGGATGCCGTCACGTCCTTGGTGTTACCAACGCTCAGTGTTGCTCGGTCGACGATAATACTTGAGTAGATTTCACGGTTTAAACTTCCAATCGACAATTATCACAGAAACTGCCATTTATGCGCAGCCTGGCGCAACAGGTCAGATTGGCACAGAATGGAGCAGCACTTCCACCCCTGACCAGGGAGCAATTCTTTCCCCTTACATGAGGCGTCTCTTATAAACAAGGTCCCACGCATGCATCTTCTTTTGTAGGCACACTGGTGTTTTAATACCCATTTGTGTCTTACATCAGTGTCCATTATAAAAGGATTAAGCTCTAGTATATATCAAATACTATGAGAAAAAAAGTTCCATATTTGTCATGACTCAATTAACCTGCACAATATATTTTTTTAATTGAAACAAGCCATGTGAAAAAAGCAAATTTTTGTGGTTAAAGAGAAAGCAACTTTGAGAAGAGCAAGGAAAAAAGGATGCAAGTGATAACCTGTACAATAGGAATGTGTATATATTTAAAAACCTTGAATAACGAATGAAATGGCATTGTATTCAATTAGGTACCAGAATCAAATTGTAGATATTCAAAAATATTCAAAATACTGAATAGTTTTAGAATAATCAGCAGAAAAACCCCATAACAATGTAACTTTGGATCAGCTAACCATAACCCCAATTCAGCAAAAACGGCAGTGATAATGGCGTGCAGCCTTAAGTTGTTCGACTTAGAAAATTCAAAATACAAGAAAAAAAAATGCCGAACCTCCACTCGATTTTCGCGGCATCACTTGAACACAACTTACACTTAAGGTCAGAGGGCTGCCCTAAAAAAATAAGCTAGAAGTGCCTATGTAGGGGAAGCTCGCACCTTATTGTTGCTTACTTTCTTTTTTCAAGTAATGTGCCACAACACCAAATGTGGTGCCTGACGCCTGGCTTGCCAGAACGTGAGCGGGAGCTGCTGTGTCAAAGCGATGTATTTTCTGCTGTTTTTTACAACATTTGAAGTAAGTCCCTACTCTTATTCTGAGAAAGAAACTTGTGGAATGACCAGGACACTGACGTATTGTTGACGCTTCGCGCGTTGTTCGTTGAGCCACCCGATGAACAACAATGGTGCACTGCACCTCTTCAACAGTGCATGTGCAGAAAGAGGCAGCTCACAAACTCCCAAAAGAAAGAAAAGTGAAGAAAAAGAGAGCAGTGTTTCGCATGGACATCCGACCCGCAGGCAAGCCAAAAAATACAGTGGCGAAATGGCAGCCAGAGTCTCTGTCGTGCTTTGTAGTCGCAGTAATATTTTTTGTTGTGGCCGCGTTTGTTCAAAGTTCGATGAAAAAGCACAGAGAATAAAAATAAAACAGATTAGTAACCTCAGTTTTGATCCTACACCACGATTGATTCTGAAGTTACATTTATCCAAACATATGAAGGCAACTTTACGGCGTCATTTTCGCCCGCCGTGTTCTAGCAAGCGCCACTACGTGGTAATGTGGTCAGCAGCGATGTAGTGAATGTACTGCGTGATTAAAATACTAAATGATTTGATATTGGCACTTAGACCTATGCTAAAATTATCTCTGGTTACCCATCTAAGCAAACCACAAATAAAAAATTGGTGCTTCAGTAGTGTTGGAGGGCCCCTTTAAGACATGTAGATCGCGCATCAAATATACCGGTGCACTCGCAAGCCCTGCACAACGAATCAGATCAGTGCGATGAAATAACACTGCCTTCTGGTCACCTGTGCGCGAAAAAGGATGGCAACTTGTCAGAATGCAGTCGAAAATTGATCAATATTCGCTAGGAAAAATGTACTTCGTGGACTTCGGTCCTGCGCAGCGTTTCATATAGTGGATATCTCGCTGTAAGTGAGCTCCATATACTAGTGCACTGGTCCTATACTTTTGCACGAGAAATTCAAGGGGATTTCTCAACTGTTTGAATCCGAGTTTGATATATCTGGGATCAACTGTACACAGTTTCTGGAACTAACGGAGAAGACAACGCATTAACAAGAACGAAGGGGAAAGTGATGGTGGCGAGGGAGACATCCAATAAAGAAAGTGCTAGTTTGAAGCCAGCCCTACAGTCTCTAACTGAAGCTCTAACTGAAGAAGAGATTGAACTGGTCCTGAAACATTAGACTAGTTTTTAAAATTAGACACCAAAAACTAGGGAGTCTGTTTATTTTTACTACAATGTTCCGCTAACATGTTTGCAGGAGCCTTCACTACTGAACGACCCCATTTACTGACCTTGTTTGAAAACTATTGCAGGGCCACTTTAAGAAACTTCATTTTACAGCTGGAGGACATGTCCATTCTCTAAGCCCAGAATGAGTGTGATGTAGGTGAAAAAAAAGTGTAACAGAGACAGAAACAATCGAACGCACGTTACAAATGTGCAACAACCTGCACAGATTTCATCTGAACACAGACAGGTCGAAAAATAGAAAGTTAGAAAAGATGTGGAAAAGTTTGCTTGAGCACAGAGAGAAACGGGAATGCCTGCCACGATGTGGATTCGTACCGTCAAAGGACAAGGGAGATAGCAAAAAAAGCAGGAGTTGTGCATAAACCAATTTCAAAAGCAGTAGGGCTGCGCATTGCGTTTCATAAAATGTAGCAGTTTCAGACTTGAGACACAGACTTCCTAGTTGCTAGAAACTACTGCCAACTTCGATGAAGAACATTTGGCATCCCAGTACTTGGTCATCAAAAATTACTCTAAGACAGCTTTCTAAGTGCAAACAAAAAAGCACAGCACAGTTCTATGTATGAATCCATAACGATCCATAACAATGGGGTTCAGCTTTTTATTCTAAGAGTGTGTGTGTGCGTTCTACACTGTCAGTGTCACTTGCCTTGGAAGGCCTCCCCTACAGCGGGAGCCAACGCAGCAGCCCGATCGGGATCCAGGGCTCGCTGGACTGCCTCACGCTTGTTGCTCAGCAGGTTCACTCGCCGGTTCACTTCCTCTTTGAGTGTCGGGTGCAACACCGCCAGACCCTCGGCTTCCTCCAAGAAGAGCGACAGCGACGGCTGCCGACGACGCAGCTCACCACCAACAAACTGCATGTACATGCACACCTTCAACTCTTACACGTCCCAACAGCTTCCTACAAAAACAAAACTCAATAATAACTAAATAAATTGCACTCGACTGACAGGAACATTCTACTCTGATGAAGACTTACTGTTCCCTTACTTCAAGCCAACTCGGAAATGCTGGAGCATGTTCAAAGAATGAATTTTCCACTAACCCTTTTAAAGAATTCAATAATAAAAAAATATCTATTCTGGAGCAAAATATCTTGAATTCTAAGCTGTTTTTAACACCGTAAAGGAGGTCACTTTGAAGTTGCAACAACAAAAGAATTGGCTAGCGTGTGAAAAAAAGTTACTTATAAGTATGGCGAACCACACAGTTGTTCAGTTTGGTATGCTAAACCGTTTATCGAGTGTGAAAAAAGTTCAAGTTAGTCCCTGCTGTTATGTGGAAAGCAGCATGTAGGACCAACATGGCATGGTTGATTACCAGCGCACTATGACAATGTAACACGCATAGCCACTAAAGGCCAGGTGCATCCAACAGGTGATTGCTGCACTATTTTTTAACACCTACTATAAAAAAAATTAATTGATGTCGAATTATATGGTCAATAGAGAAACTTCGAACTTACATTTCCATTCCTGTGCTATTAGGAAAAGGAGAAACACACACAAAAAAGTTCCATTCTATTGCCTGAACATTCACTTTAAAAGCACGGACATATATACAATATAGAACAAACTGCATCAGGACTTAGTAAACTTGCATGTTGAATCGTTAAAGCGAATTTTAGACGGACAAATGAAAGAAAGATACACAAAGAGCCATGTCTCTTCAGGCTTTTTTTTTTTCTTCCATCTAAAGCTTGCTGTAATCACTCAACGGGATGTGGGCAGAACGCATATATGGCAGTAAACATACAACAGAGCGTAGCATCTGAAAGCACAAGCTGAACCACCCTATGAAAGAACACAGGGCAAGCGCTACTTTCAAGTAAGCTTTTAAGGCACGGCAACAGCGAATATATGTCCGTGGCCCTCTGAAAGAAAGGAACAGATGGAAGAGATAAAAAATAAAAAATGAGAAAAGGAGGAATGCATACTATTGCCAAGGCAATGTCGAATAGTCTGAATGTGTATCAAGGACAAGTATCAGCTACACTACAACCTCCTTATTTTGGAGTTAATGAATCCAGACAAAAATGTTTGAATTAACCAAGCGCTGAATTATCATGAGTACAAGGAAAACAATGAACAACTGTATATTTCATGAATGCAAATTTATTTGCTGCAAAAATGCTAAAATCCTGTTCTCGATTTACAAAGGAGCAGTGTAAAGCCACAACTTTCATCATCCCATCACGTCTTTCCCAATTCGACTGCTGTGAGCCCCTGTGTGTCATCTGATCCGAAAGTTCTCTGCAAGCCTCCTCCCTCCCAGTCCTTTGTGGTCAGCACTACTGTAAAATCCCAAGCAAGAACCCTATGGTGAAGAGTAATTTGACAAGATATGTAAGGGAGGGGGGCCTTCACTCAGTCACAGATCACAATTCAAAGTGGTGGCTGAAGAGCTGCTAACAATAAGAATGCACACCCATGCTTCTAATGAAATACTTCATTGAAAAGAAGGAAGGAGGGCACTTGTTTGAGCAGGAGCACTTGCTCGGAATTTTACACTACCACTACGTGCGCAAGATGATAATTTTTTCATCAGCAATATGGCCAGCAACAGCTCATTCATCCACCATGACAAGGCAGGCAAGCTTTATGCCAGGAAAGTGGACCATGGCTAAAATTCTCTTCATTATCAACAGATTTCACCATGTTCGAGCTTTATAAAGTTTTACGTGCACATTGCACCAAGTCAAAGCTTAGCCAATGCGAGCTGCACCTGTTCTAGAAGAAACAGCGGCCATTACTATTGCGATCTTTTGCAGCGTCCATGCAGTTCTAAAGGCACTCGCGCAGCCCAAATGTTCTCTGGCCAAACGAGGTTAATATAAAATTGAGTGCCTCACCGGCTGGAAATTGAAGCGTGATCATAACGCCCACACAGTTTTGAAGGTGTGCACAGCCTGCACACACCACGTCAAGAAGAAACTGCAGTTTGTCAAGTCACACTCAATGCACATTCGTGAATGGTGACCGAAGTCGCACTTCTGAAGGTATGCGACGAAAAGACAGCCGCTGCAGACGAAACTGCAGTCACTGCTGACATCGATCATGACCAGCTCCCACACAGCTTACGTATGCCGAGTAAAAACAAAAACAAGATTGCCTCAACCACTGAAGCCTTGGTAGCCAACGGTGCAGTAGTGGATGGTGGTCATGCTTTCCTGAAAGAGGCCTGCGACACCCATTTTCAATTATAATCCATGTTATAAAGGTTAATTATTCTGCAAACACAAATAAGCTGGCAGATTTTAGCACATTTGGTCGAAGACTTAACTTATAGACTTGTGCAAATAGTTCATTTGACGCTCGAAGTGAATTCGGAGAGAATAATGATTTGGGTAAAATGATTTCTAATTGAATTCAAATAGTATATACTAGTATATTGCTTATTATAAAGAAAAATAGGCATATCTGTCATGACCTTAAAAATCTGCACATTTTTTTTTAAGTTGTGCAGATTCGTTTTAAGAGACCTATGAAAATGCCATTCTTTTTGGTTCAAAGGAAGTGGAAACAACTTTGAATGGTAACAGGATTTCACTTTCAGTAGATTGCGTGCAATATTTTACATTTTAAAACTTGCTATACTTGGAGCATGTAAGTCAGTATAATGACCTTGTAAACTGAAAAAATGAATCGGTATGCATGTAATATCTTCATTTAACCTTGAAGTAAGGCTTTGCGGCAGCGTGATTTCCCCTGAATATGTGTTTTCATGGGATAGTACCACTTGACTCCAGTGAAACCCCCTTTGCAAAATGTTATATACAGACTGACATGCATCTATTCGTTCGTGCCGAATACAAAACTTTCATAAACTTTAATTTGATTAAAAGCTGATTCAAATACTGCATTATTTGTTCTAATTTTGCACAAGCCTAATTTATAGTTTAATATTTTTATTTATTCACGAGCGGCCTGAGCATCAGGCAACACTGGCACGCTCACGAGCTGTGATGTAACAAGCATTTGCTGTGAGAGTGCCTGCATTGCGACAAACAATCTTGTTCCATGTTGAGCTGCACCTGAAATCAAGACATTTTAGCTTTCTTCAGCTTGATGCTGAAATGAAATGATTTGAAGCAGCCGAAACTTTGGCAGAACATGCTGGCTCCACTCCATGCAAGACACGACATCACACACGCGACGGCGATTTGGCTGATGCTGGCCGGTTGGCGAGGTTTGTTGCTCGTGAATTCTGGGGCTTGTTTTGCACCGAAACAGTCTTTTATATCTCATTTTTCACATCTCTATAGACATAATAGAACCCCAACTTCAATTTTTCACTGAACACCCCAAATTGTTGGGTGATCATTTCATCATCCTTAGGCCTGCGATCAATGTGATGTAACACATATATGGTACACGAACGAGGCATTCAGGCTTTCCTATCATTAGTCTGGGCTTGTTGTCTGGTACCGGAAAGCACATGAATTGTTTAAAAGAGCCAAGGCATGGTCACCTAACAATTTGCTGTTTTCAGTGAAAAATATAAGGTGAGGATAGATAGTGCATGCACACATATGAAAAATGGACTTCGGTGACCACCATATTGCAATGGCGCGTGTGATGTCATCTACTGCATGGAGGAGAGCTGTCACCTTGTACCAAAGTTCCAGCCACTATAAATTATTCAATTTCAATGCCAAACTGAACAAGGCCGAAACAGCTCGATTGGTAGTACAGCTCATCACCGGACATAATCGTTCGCCTTAATGCAGACGCTGACACAGACAGTAGCTTGTTACATCACGGCTCGCAAGATTGTCGGTGTTGCCCAACCTTCCGGCTGCTCACATCTTTATAGAAATGTCAATTATTAATTAAATGCTTGACCAAATGCTCTAAAATTTTGCCAGCTTGGTTGTAAACACAGTCCAATTAAACCTTATAACACAGATTAGGGCATCAAATGAAACTCGTGTTTATTTATATCTTGTATTGAGCCAATTAACTGGGACAATTTTTGGAGTGAGCTGAAAGAAAAGTACTGCAAATGTGTGTTTGCGCACACCTGAAATTAGAAAGAGCAATCCCTGTTGCCAATCATCATACCAAATAAACATGGCGGCCTTGGTGTGTTCCTGGCCTTTCAGCTTGCAGCTAACTGTACAGTCGACTTTAAACGAAACTCAAAGGAGATCCATAAAACTGTTCCATTTATCAGAGTTTCATTTAAGGAAAGTACACTTATTTAGTGAACCAAGACCTTTATTCAAATTGCACAAACTTCACTTTACTCATGACGATGAGTAGGAGAAAAAAAAAAAGGAGTGAAGAGTGGTTTGTTTGGCAAGCTTGAGTTGTTTCTCACAAGGTACACACCCATGCCTAACAAACTAGCTAGAAATTCTGGACAAGCCTCATGCTCACAATAGCACTGTAAAAGTTCAACAGCCTCTTTAGCTGATCGGCTCTGGTGGCATCACTGCACTGACAGTATTGCCATCTACATCATCGCTGGAAGGTTGATCCTCATCTTGCACTTCGGCAATCATTTCCTCGGCAGTCTCTTCACGACACGTGTGAACATTTTCATTAATTCATACGTAGTCCTGCAGCGTGAATGGGGCAGAGGGCACGACCTTGACTGAATACTCTTTAAATGTCGCATCAGCACGGCTTCCTTCTTCATCAGGTACTGCTTTCTTGCGCTTGAAAGCCAGTATGGTAAAAGCATCTGTGTATTGTTGTAGCTTTCACTTGCTTCCAGGCACAAGCCAAATGTGGATGGCTGCCAATAAATCTATGCTGTGGCATTTCCCGCTGCCTGCTCTAAGCAGCATTTGATGGAGCAATTGCCTGTGGGAATGAACTTTAATGTTCTGAATAACCCCTTGATCTATCGGCTGGATCACTGCCGTTGCATTAGTTGGCAAGAACTCCAGAGTGATGGCTTAGAGTCCTTGAACCTGACAGTGGGCTGGGCAATTATCCACGATGAAGACAACCTTCCTGCCTTGCCTCGAAAATCTTGCGTCTTCCTCCCGAAGCCTGTTTTCGAAAATGACCATGGTCATCCACGCTTCTCCATTCGCATAGTTACGCAACAAGAAGACTTCGAACACTTTTCAAGCAACGTGGGTGCTTTGACTGTCCTATCACCTACAGATTCAATTTCTCATCTCTTGCCATGTTTGCACCCACCAGCACAGTGATGCAATCTTTACTGCGTTTTCCTCTACTACAGATTTCGCCTTTGAAGGCGAGTCTTGGGTGGAAGCGCTTTATAAAAAAGACCCATCTTGCCCATGGTTAAAATGCCTTGTGGCTCAAAGCTCTTCAAAATTTCTTTAAGCCGCCCCTCCCTGTTGCCAGTCGGAGCAAATGTCCCTGTTGACTGCACCAATCACGTGAGGTTGCTTTGAAGACTAGGCCATGGCATCTTTTGAAGTGGCCGAGCCATAAGGCGTCGTCCGCATCCGCATTTGTTTAGATTTAAACGTCCCATTCTTAACAGTACCTTCAATCTTTTCTCTGTCTTCCCAGATCAGCGACAGCGTCGATTTCGGGATGTATTTTTTCGCCCCTTCGTTTTGAACGGGCCGCTTCGATCGAGCTCCTGAAAAATTCAAAGCTTTTTTTTTTAAGCGAGAGTCCATGGTGCGGCCGCTTCCTTTCCATCAGGCTGAAATAACGCCGTGATCCATTGCACTTAGCTGCACAAACAGGCCTAACGCACAATTGACTCGCTGACTCGGCTTCCACAGCCACAAGCGAGAATTGCTACTGGATTGGCTTGTCTCGATCTTAAAATGTTGCCATAATTGTCAGCCTACCTTTGGCATGAGCGAGTCTATGCTGTGTTTAGAGTTTGTGCCATTGAACCGTAGGCGACCAATAGGCACAGTTTTGATTAACCGATGAATTTTACTGTGCAACACATAGAAATACAGCCATATGGGCCCGTTTAGTTCTATAATTGAGGCATTTTTCCTTAAGCGAGTTTTGTTTATTGGGAGTCCACTGTATTTTCATCATATAAAATTTCTCTTTATATCACTTTTCTTTTTTCTCACTTTATTTCTCTTTTTATCACTGATATCACTGTCTTGATCCCCTTGAAATTCGATATCTCTGGACTTGTTACTGAAAGACATTGTCAGTGACCCTGCGATTCAGACAACCTCGAGTGCCAGTCAATCTTATGACTCGCATGCATCTGAGCTCTACGGACTGTCCAAATTTAATAAAAAACAACCAGTTATTTCCAAATTGACGAGCGTTTTGGGGGACAGGCTTCTGCGCATGTCTCGCAGAACTAGCAGGGCATCCGAACTAACCAAGTTTCACAAAATTACATCGGGTTAGATGGGGTAAGGTAAGAAATGAGAATTGGTGCCTGCCCTGTGTTCTTCTTACGTGGAAGTGGTTTAACTTGCACTTTCAAAAAATTTCAGTTAGCCTGATCTTAGTGCTTGCTAACAATGCGTGATTGCATGTGGAGCAGTCCTACTACTACTCACCTCAGCCACCTCTGCTCTGTGGTCAGAGGTCGAGTCAAGCAATGAAGACTGCAGCTGGTGCAGCCAGTCGTGCAGCAAGTTGAACTGCCGGACAAACTCGGCAAACGAAAGTGTCTCACGTGGCGGAGACACTCGTGCCTCTTCGTCCAGGTCCAATTCTCCGCTTGCCTCCTGACAAAAATACAGAAAGGTTCTCGTCATCGGCTCAATCGTTAAAGTGATGATGATGCGTGAGAAATTATAATCAAATAAAATGCACCAACGCAGTGGAATAGAAGGGACTAAGGACGAAAGGAAATCACACGCAAGTGCGATAAAACGTTAATGAGAACTAAAAAACAATCAACCGGAGGAAAGCACAGGATAATACAAAGAAGATGCGCCCTCACGTTTCCCTCCTCAGGTGCACACAAGTGCGATAGCTACTTTTACCAAAGCTGAGATGTACATTCGTTTTAGTCGAGTGATCACATCATTATGGACTTCATCAGACGAGGTGTTGGTGTGTCAGGTGACAGCCTTCCTTGTGAGAATGAGTTAACTGAATATTTCCCAAAATGGCGGTACCGTAATGTTTGTTCCGGCCTATATGACCGTTCCGCTAGGCCAAGAAAAAATTTTAGTTGCCAATGACCCTATCATGCTAATCAGACCAATTGAGAAGCAGTTTCCCTTTTGTGTAAAATTTTTTAGAAAGCTTGTGCTCCGCGATGCTACTTCTTTCTGCTGTTTAGTGTTATCTGTGCGTCGATTAAGCTGGTATGAATATTCGAATGCTTCAAATATTTAAGAATATTACTGTATTTGAATTTGCTTCGATTCAAATTTAAATTACTGAAAATGTCAAAGTATTTGAAATGAGCAAATAAATGTTTGTATTATAGTCCGCATGTAACTTCCTGTAATGGTGGTTTTAGTGCAGTGGAGGAGTGCTAAGCTGTGAAATAATTTATAGAATGCATATTAGCCTGCATGTCCCCCTGCAAAGGTGGTTTAGCTGCACTAAAGAAGTGCTAAACTGCAAAAACACCCATTAAAAAAATATGCATTGGCGTGATAGTTATAAAGTTACGATAGTTTTAGCGTGAGAAGAGAACGATGACAAAGAGACATGTGGTTCTGCCCTCGCGCTATAACTATCGTCACGTCATACCGACTAGCCACACTTCTAAATTCGCTTAATGATTAAACAAAAAGATATTGCCCTCACATCGATTCACTATTTTAAGTTTAAAGCTTGTTAAACCGGCTTATATGCTCCAAGTGAAGTAAATTTCAAAACGTAACATATTTAACAGGTTACCATTTATACAAGAAGTCAGATCCCCTTACTACCCAGGTTCTTTCCAATTCCTTTAAACAAAAGAGAATGGCATTCGCATACGCCTTGTTTCAATTATTACACAATATTGTGCAGGTTAGTTGGGTCATGCAAATATGCCTATTTTTCTGTATATTATGCGATAGATACCATTTGAATTTCATATGAATTTATTTGACCGAAATCACTATTGGCTTCAATTTCACTTCAAACCTAAAGTTCTCTATTCACACAAGTTTAGGGTCTACAATTCATCCATCCCTGCATCGTAGTCGTTAGAGGTGTCTAGTGTACTCAATTAACCATTAAATTTTGTAGATGCGGCGCACCGTTTGTGTAGCACTTCTCACCTTGGAGGTGAATAATTCTGCATCCAGGGTTCTTATTGGAGAAAAATTTTAATCCATCTGTCGAACAATTCTAGTAAAATTAGTGGAGAATCAAGGAGACCTCTTGTGTTCATGGCGTGGGCTTTCTACCATGTTGACAGCACGCTATAATACAATAGAAAGTGCCAACCTAACAATGTGCTGTGCAGCATCCCTATGTACACTGTGTGGTGTCCATATGTCTTCTTGTGTCAGTGTTTCATTTTGCACTGCATGAAAGGTTTTGAAATGAATCAACAAGCCCACATAGCAACTCTTGGCTTACAATGCAGTCCAAGAGCTCAAGGATGGAAGCCTGCGTCCCCATAGTGATGTGGCTGTGTACTACATTTTAAGTCAACCATTTCGTTATACCTGTGCCCATGTTCATGGAAAGGACTTCTTAAAAATACATGGAAGCACTAACACCACTTGAATAACAAAGCACTCACATCATAGGATGAAACACTCTTATATATTGTTCATGCTGCACTGTTCCACATGAATGTTTTGGAGAATCAGTTTGTTCAGCATAACTACAAGTGCATGATGTAACATTTGCTGTCCATACTTAGTATGACAAAATGAAACGAACCAGTACTACTTTGTGCGAAGTGCACATAAAGAGATATTCTTTGTCAGCGATGATATGCTAAGAAATGCATCCTCGCAGTTATACACAGACTTTTTGTAGCGCATACATAAAAATAACTCGTAAAGTTCACATCAAGAAGTCCGTTTGAATAGAAAAAGACACACCAGCCTCACCAAGCACGAAACTTTAAACATGTGCCCCACGGCCATGGACTAGCGGGCAGTCGCGTAATACTAGTCTGCTGAAGTAAAAACAGCAAAAAAAGAAAATGGCGGCTATGACGTCATCATAACTTGTATTGACTGCAGAGTGGTGAAGTGAGGGGGGGGGGGGGTCCCATGGGTCCCATTTGAGGGATCGATGCTTGACCCCGCACACAAGCTTCAAATTTTATTGATAGTATTTTCAAGCTACATTCAACTGTTGATATTTTGCAAACGATACGCGCACATTCAGGAGAATCGATTTCACAGGCCATCTCAGCCCCGAAATTTTGTGTCAGTACCCCTATAATATAAGGATGATATTAAGGATTATGGTGTAAGCCAGCTCAGACCCTATGTAATCCCAAAGCTCTTCTTGGTGACTGACGAAGGTATCTCACCCTGCATGTGGCAATGAGCTCATCATTCATGAGGTAGTTGTAGTTGGAGCTGAGGGCCTCCCAGAAATCGTCTTTCCGGAACTCCAGTCCATTTCGCTGTGACAAGCTGCTTGGTGAAATGTTCTCCATTCTTTTACTCAGCAGTGGCTGCACTGCATTGCAAAAGCAAAGACACACGTGTCACAATTACAAAAAATCTATCCCACGTGCTATGATTGTACAAAATGATCATGCCTTGCTACATATATCAATTAAATTATGTACCTACTTTTGAAATTTTTTATTACTTCATGAAAAACGATACTATCTAGCACCCAAAAGTTTCTAGACAAGCACATATATTGTGCTAAAATGAATGTCTAGTAGAAATGATGAATAGAGATAAGGTTCTAAACAAGCACACTGCAAAAGGTGAAAAGTCGTTGGTATTTGCTGAAACTACACCAAGATTCATATAGCACAGGGAGACTGCTCAACCACGGCCACCACAATGTGAGCAAGTGCCAGCTGACTTTTGAAAATGGCCGCTGTAATAAAGTTAATGCAACTCCACAGTGGCATTTTAAAGCTGTAATCGCAAGAAAAATGGTCCAGCAATACAATCAATAGCAAAAAGTGAATCATCCTTGAGAAAGCAACTAAGATAAAGGAAACTGGGAACAAAGCTTGTCGAGAACGCGAGGTACCTCTGAAGAATATTTTAAATGCGAAGCATTTCTTGGCGATCCTTGGCGACTTTGAGCATATTTATCTATCTAGCCGCTTACGTTTGGGTGCTTTCGTGGTCACTTACTTACCTTGGCGTGAACCAAAATTAGCATGGGAGGGTAAGATGGTTTGACGAATATGACGCGCTGTTCAGGACATGAACAATGTCACAATCCCGTCGCATACACCGTCAAACACTACCCGCCAGAAAGTCTTAAGAAGCCTTAAAGGGACACTAAAGATATAAAAAACAATTGACATCAAAGAGAAAGCTCAATGTATGAGAACATCTAAAACCATAATATTACCAACAGCAGTGCCCTATTTACCAAGAAATGAAGGTAAATGCACAAAAATACATGCCCCGCAGTAGGACCTTCTCAAAATAATCCAAATGATGTCATACGAACTGCCTACAATTAATCACTAGTAATCAATCTAGCTAGAACCTTTCATGCATCAAGAAAATGCTGCTTATTAGTTTCTGTTTGATTCATGGAAAAAAGAACTGCTGGATGTTACTATGGCGAATCGCACGAGTGCTTCAAGAAAATTCAACTTTCGCGTGGTTAAACTGCACAGGTCGTGCCATCTAGCAAGGCCCAGTTGAACCAAAACACGTCTGCCATCTAGGAGCCAACGACAGGAAATTGATCAATGGCCGTTGTTGCTGCTGTGGTTCCCGCTACTTTCGTTCTGCTGCTACTAGTATTGGACAGCTACGCAGTAAAGCCGGGAAGCGTTGTGCATGGCAACCATGACATGAGATGGTCCACTTCTAGAAGCAGGTAATTTGAAGTGAGCTAACCCAACGAGGACCACTCAAACAAGATTTTATTTCGAAATAAGCCATTCCTTGGCACAAAAGTAACACTACGAGGTTTCTGGACCGTTCTTTGAACAATTAACGTCGAACTTGATATGTAGTTGCCTCTAGTGTCCCTTTAAAAGGTACCCACACGAAAACTTTCAGTAATTTTTTTTTTCGGTCAAATGAACGGCCAAGCACTCAAGAGCCTAGAAAATGTGCGGCTAAAGTGAGAGTGCACTCCGAGTAAGTGATTACAGTTTCTTTTTGAAATATAGCTCGTGTTCCGAATAAACCCTGACGTCTCAACAGAGCGTGGGCTTCTTGTCACATGCTCGTGCAGTGTTTCACGACGTTACCATGACCGCTACACACCATGGTTCTGATCGTGACGCACAAGTGGCCATTTTGAAAGTTTCGGTAACTGACGTCATCTCAACAGACCAGACAGCTGCTTGACGTCACCACAATTCATACTGTAGCCTGACATCAAGCTAGTTTGGATGCGAGTAGGTGTGCCAGGGGAAAACTGAATTTACAATGAAATTAAAATATCTTACCAGCATTTGCTGAGCTTTATACTTGCTCAGAGCAGTCTCTGTGTACAGGAGATTTGTATAGCAGTCTAAAAATACCTCCAAAAAATGGTATCAGCACCTCTTTATGATATACATTATAAAAAGCAACTACATGAAAGCACCGCACAAAACTATCTGAATGTATCTCGCTCTTTTAATACCCCTTACAGTGGTTGCTTAAATCAGTGAAAACAAATTATCACACTGATTTTCCACATAAATTGAGTTAAAGTGACATTACAGCATAGTCACACAATGCAACTGGGATGAATAAAAGTCTAATTACCATGTAATTTCAAAACCTTGTCTTGAGTAAGCGCTGTCCTTGTCCTGTCCTTCCGTCTTGTTTTTAGCTTGATGCCCCGGTGTTTCTTGTAGAGTTCTTTGGCACTAGCACGCAAAAGAGTCCCGTCTTGGCTCTTTCGACCCTTATTATGGCTACCATATTGGCTTTGGCTATGACTTCCTTGCAGACTTGTACTTCCCAAGGGCGATGCTGGCTGCTTGTCAAAGCTGCTGCAGTGACAAGGCCAACTGCAGGAGACGGTGCTGTGGCTGTTCCCGTTGCAAGCGTGTCTCCTCGAACGTGTCGAGGACTGCAAGGGACGATGCCTGCAAGTGACAAGTCAAGACAATGACACCAAAGTTGCTCGCATGGATGTTACTAAAGCAAAGCACGTGACGGTACTTCGACCTTAACCAAACGAGTACTAAATGTTCTTTGTTGAATGAATGCGACAGCTGCAACATTCTGCACTGACCAGTGATGACAGTTTAAGGTTGCGACAAATAGCAGCCACGGAGGCCTTTGTCTCGACTGCCTGCACACCTGAAGTATTCAGTAAGCACTGAGCGTAGGAACATGTATTGTTCTCATATGACTGGCACATAGGTATTATTCTCGGGACATACAATTGCATATGGTAAAGGCGACAGCAATGTCACGCTCATTCAAATGTTATTGTAAAATTGTCCAACAGCAGTGGGGTTATTGTTTTTTTTTTTTTTCAAAGCACAATATCAACATTGAAGTCTTTTCAACATTATCAACATTGAAGCGTTGGTCATGAGAACAACTTTCTCTGAGGTTGTCTTCGAGGGTAGTCATTTGAGCGGTACGAGTACGTATAGGGCTTCGGCAGTGCAACCTCAATAATTATTGTGTTGTAGTTAGCATGACTAGAAGAAAACATAATTGCATTTTTTTAAGATTGTCTTGCCAAACAACATAATGACTACCAGTTATCTTAACCTTCAAATTCATTAAGTGGGCACTGCGGACCTATGCAGCAGCATTGCATCCCACTCAGAATGTCCTAGTGCCAAGCGCTTACGGAATATTATCTCGTTAACCATATAGGCAGTGCAACACTAATCATACTGACTCAGTCTAGCACAAAGCTATTCGTTTCATTGTAGGTCACTTTGACCGAAACCTATCACTGACAGCTGCTCTTTTAGTATTGAACCTGCAGCTTCTTTCAAGACAATGCACATAAAATCTCAGAGCCTTTGGTACTCAAATAAAAACTTCCTTTGTTACATCACTGATCGCTCTGTTTTAATACCTGTTTCCCCTACATCAACTAGAGCTTATCATGCCTCAAACATTAGATCACTTCGTTCTCACACTAATACTCTAAAAAGTTTCTATGATGAGGAAGCCCTTGCTTCACATAATAAAAATGATTTGTAATGATGTGTTACAGTGGAACTTCAGTTTCATTTCAGGCATTGTTGCCAGCCTCTCTGTTAAAAGTAGGAAGCTGCTGTGTAACATAAGCCAGATGTAGGAAGACATCCAGTAATAAAAGATAAGTTATTCTTAAATTCTAATCATTAATATTTTCTAATAGATATTCTAATGATAAATGTTGTTATGGAGAGATTAAGTGAAGAAAGATGAAGAACCAGATTGATTGATTTGTGGGGTTTAACGTCCCAAAACCACCATATGATTATGAGAGACGCCGTAGTGGAGGGCTCCGGAAATTTCGACAACCTGGGGTTCTTAACGTGCACCCAAATCTGAGTACACGGGCCTACAACATTTCCGCCTCGGAGGCGGAAATGCAGCCGCCACAGCCGGGATTTCATCCCGCGACCTGCGGATCAGCAGCCGAGTACCTTAGCCACTAGACCACCTTAGCCACTAAAGCACCAGAGAAGCTGACTGGCGTGCAGGTCTGTTGGTCACCCAAAACCAGTGACATAAATGCCGCTGATGTATAACTGCTTTCCCGCCTTGTACAGAGTCTAAAGCACTATTTTATATTTATTATGAAAACCTGCCAACTCATCCAATCTGCCTGTCTTTTTCAGATCTTTTTAACTTGAAATGCAGAGCCTCTCAGTGTTAGCCGCAGATGCATCCAAAAACAAAATGAAGCAACGGATGCATAAGCCAGCTGTTTGCAGTAACTTCAGGAAAGGTGCTAAAAGCATTGAGCTAAGTTGCAAACAGGGTAGGTCAGTAAGATATAAAATGACAAGTAGCTGCTGCACTATGAATACAATGCCAAAAACAAGTTTAAGCACACCAAAGGTACGAGTGAAACTGCACGTGCTTGCATCTTGGAACCAAGAATATTGATAACATGCAGTGGCCACACCTCCTCACATAATTCTCAATTAAGCACTGCTGGTGTCATGTCTGCGAGCCCGGAACAACACTCAAATCGCATTATAAGAAAGTTGCCTTTTACAAGAAAATAACTTCATTATATCCAAAAATTCGTTATAAAGGTATATCTTTAACACTACAACTATTGCAAGAGAATTCTTCATTTACTTTGTTATAAGTGATATTTTGTTATATGGAGGTTTGTTATATCGAGACTTAAGTGTATAGTTAGAGTGCATGGGGCCATAGGTTGTCAAACTAGCAAATGAGTCGACTCATTTGGTCTCAGATTGAGCGGCCGCAAGTTTGACTCTGATGTTTACAATAATTTGTAGGTTGGGGAGAGTCTGTTCATGATGGGAAATCTGAGTGAGTTCATTTGGGTGAGTAATATTTCTGTGAATTCGAGTTCGAGTAGGTCCGGTTAAGAAAATTTTCCAGTGAGTCTGAGTCCAAGTGAGTCTGATTGAAAAAAGTTCAGGCGAGTTTGAGTTCGAGCAAGTCCCAAGTGCAAAATGTATTTCTTTAGCGACTCTGATTGAACTTGCAGGTGTAAACAAGGCACTGTTCAAGAAAGCGAGGGAAGCAGCGAAATAATGAGAGAAAGTTGTGCTGGATAAAACATGGATTGTGTTCTTCATAGAACAATCTGCCAAGGAAACATAAAACATTAAAACAAAACGCATGCTTAATAAATTTGTTAAGCCAGGTCATGTTTTTTTTTTATGCTCATTTTCAGCATAGTGTGCATACAATGAAGTAAGCCTTGATGAGAAAATTGTACCCGGTTTGTAAGAAGCATCTGATAAAAAGAACCGAAATCACTTCTCAATATGTGTCTTGTAAAATAATTTTTTTGTAATTTAACAGGAATTATACTGACATCATAGGACAAAACACATTAATATGGAGTCTTCGTATTTGTTAGGCACTTCAAGTCAGCACAAATATACTACAACCTTGACAGAATGTGCTATCTTATAGGGATAAAGTGATATGCGAGCAATGTTTTAGAACTTTTGTATCCCATTATGGGGTTGCAGCTGGATGATACAAACTTCTCTGCCTTCACTCTTGGTCTTGCGACTTATTTAAGTTGTAGCGAAGCTTTGGAACTGGATAGTGGCTTGTGGTTTCCAGAGCCTTCTAGAGAGTTCTTCTCTTTGGCTGTTTCCTGAAAGAATGCTGGTTGCTCAGACTGTCGCCATTGTGTACTGTCACTGAGTGCTGTCAAATAGACACCCTAGCAAAGTATTCAATTTTATGAATAAAAGGTTTCTAACAAAAAAGTGGCATATGGAGCACACAGAGCTCAGTGTGCTTGATATGTGTGCACACAAGGGCAGTGTCATTGGTGCATTAAGGGCAACTGTTTATTTACCCCCCTTTTACTTTTCTATAATTGACAGTGAAGTTACATAACCTGTTTTATTTTAGTTTAACTCACATACTTAAACCAACTGATAAATCAATCAATTCTTGAGTAGTTCTGTTGATTGCCCCGGTTGTGGCTGGATAGAAGACACTGTGGAGAAGCTCACCCTGATGAGGTCAGGTACACAGTTCTGTTCAGCCTGAGCAGTGGCTGGCCATATGGACGGGTCAGTGCAACGCGGGAAGCATTCGGCCGCAAGCATCGCACCCTCCAGTCTGGTCGGCACACACCGACACTGGGCACGCTGCCATGCTCGCGGGGTGCCTGCAGAATGACACAAAGCATAGCTGGTGTCATTTTCCTAGGCCAGAAACATACTAGCAAGGTATAAGCATTGTAGAGAGAAGCAGCAACCGTAACAGCACAATCGACATCAGAGAACTTCCACGATTTTAACACATTTTGGTATGACAAAAGGCACCACTGTCCCTCTCGTTAGCTTTGGAGCACTATGAATACAACAGCAAGTAAACAGGAGGCAAGCCAAGCTGAAGTTGTGCATGCACACAGTTGCATCACCACACAGATTAATACAAAGGATGCATCACAAGAAATCATTTTATATGAAAACGAAGAGGTGTAGGCATCATAGGTAGTGGTGTTCCCAGAAGTGATTAGAGAAACACACTTTCTTAAAAGCAAGATTTTTCTTATTTAATGTATGGCTAACATCATCATCATCAGCCTGACTACGTCCACTGCAGGACAAAGGCCTCTCCCATGTTCCGCTAGTAAACTTGGTCCTGTGCTTGCTGCTGCCAATTTATACCCGCAAACTTCTTAATCTCATATGCCCACCGGACCTTCTGTCTCCCCCTAACCCACTTGCTTTCTCTGGGAATCCAGTTACTTACCCTTATAGACCAGCGTTTATCCTGTCTACACGCTACATGCCCGGCCCATGTCCTTTTCCTCTTCTTGATTTCAACTATGGTATCCTTAACCCCCGTTTGTTCTATAATCCACTCTGCTCTCTTCTTGTCTCTTAAGGTTACACCTACCAATTTCCTTTCCATTGCTCGCTGCGTTGTCTTCAATTTAAGCTGAACCCTCTTTGTAAGTCTCCAGGCTTCTGCTCCGTAGCTAAGTACAGGCAAGGTGCAGCTGTTATATACCTTGCTCTTGAGGGATAGTGTCAATCTATCTGTCATGATCTGAGAGTGCTTGCCAAATATGCTCCACCCCATTCTTATTCTGCTAGCTAGTTCAATCTCATGGTTCGGCTCTGCGGTTATTACCTGTCCTAAGTGGGCATAATCTTTTACAACTCGATGTGCACTATAACCTATCTCGAAGCGCTGTTCTATATGACTATACAGAAGAGCGCTGGTTATGTATGGCTATATATTTCTCTAAATATAAACATTCTCACTGGAGTTAAAAATGCCACAATGCTGGGCTGCCCGTCAAGGTACAGAAGATGACGTCAAAGCCTCGGCAGTGCATCCTTGGGATGTCATACCCGCTTAGCGCAGCTAAGAGAGGTTTATGGTGGCTATCAGGCAGCCATCTATGAAAACGTATTTAGCTCGGTACCACAGTAGACTGCTACGTACCATTGTAAAAACTACTGAAGTGGCACTTGTAAAAAACAAATGTGACAAATCATGCAAAATAATTTTTACGTGGTAAATAACACAAGATAATAGAATATGCGGTACATGTCACTTTCATATAGGTTAAAAGTTGCAGTAATATTTGAGAAACGGTGCAGTAATGTTAAAGTTATGTATGTTGAGGAAACATTAAAAAAAAGGATTCTAGCCACACTGAGGAAACCTCAAAAGGTAATGTTGGCTCAATGTTTACGCAACGATTTGTGCTACTAGGTTCATGATAATAAATATTAGACAATGCAAATTCAACACAGGGTGGATAAACAACACCGATGCACAGCACAAGTTCGAACTAATCTTGAGTTATGAAAGGCTTTCCGGGATATATACAAAGTTATCCCGCACAGGCGCACTGTCGCTGGACAATTAGCCACACTCGAAAAGGAGCACCGGTTAAATGCGAAAAAAAAAAAAAAAGCGGCAAAACCTCGCTCCGATTACCCGCTCGTGTTTCGGGACGACGTTGTGCTGCTCATGGCAAAGGCGCTGTGCGTCGTCGCTGACGGCGTTGCGCAAACGATGACGCAACAGCGCCGAGCGAGTTTCCCCGGCATCGTGCGACGGGGGAAACCACCTCGTCTCGTAGCAGCGTTGTGTTTTCAGCACATCCAGGTTGCAAGGGAAGAGGTTGGCGCGAAGAGACGCACGGCCGTCAGTGGGACACGCCGGCGACTTCGAGGTTACCCTATCGGGCGGCCTATCATTCCCGCTCTTGTCGCAACTTTCAGTGACTATAGGGGGCACCACAAGAGTACCAAAATGGCTGTCGATGCGGTGATCCCCTGCATAGCTGCCGCCGCTTTCGGCTAGGATAATTTTCCATGGCGTCGAAATGGAGGCTCATGTTAGAGTGCATAAAGTGTGGGACACATGGTGTGATCTCACCGTATCCGACGCGTTCGTGCGGCAGCCGGTTCGGTGACGTTCCATCGCACTGTGTTCCCGGATCGAGGATCCAGCGTGCGTCAAACTCGGTACATTTTGTCAAACACTCGGTCCGACGATCGCGCGGCCGTATATCGACAACGAAAACAATACGGGAGACAGGCGACGTAGGCCCGCTTGTGCTATTGGTCGTTTCTTTACCACTCCGATCATTTTGACCGAGGATGCCGTTTCATTTACTGCTTTCATGGCAGCCATTATGGGCTACAATTGTTTCATTGCGCAAAATAATGCTTGATCCAGTAAACTGGTGCTCCAGTGTGCCACTTCGCAGGTAAACATGCGACACTGCGGGTTATCTCGCCGAACCGGCTTACTTTGCTTCGATCTTCTCATCGATGTTGTCGAGAAAGCTGCTCGCGCATCTCGACGCAAGCATAAGATTGGAAATAATATCAATCATGTTGCTAAAATATGAGCGCATGTGACGTCATCACGGGCCATTTTGATGTACGATTCGCAGCTTCTGGCTGTTCTGAAGATAAGCAGATTAAGATAAGTGCGCCTTTCGCTGTGCATTCCGTACTACAAAATGGCGGCCGCAGTGACGTCAGTATTGCGACTCCAGCAATTCATGCGGCACCTAGCGGCAATATAGGGAAGCTGCGTACTGAAGTCCAAACAGTCCAAGCGCCAGTGGTATGCGGTAGGAGCAGGATGGTGCCGCTCGTGAAGCAAGAACGAACGGCCAAGCAGATTTCTTCTTTCCAGGTGAAGCACCACTGTTAACTTAACTCGAACCTATTAAATGGCCACTGTATCTAGTGACTACATGTCGCTGCGGCGCCCGAAGTATGAAAACAACTTTTGCAAAGATGCGGTGTGCCATGTGCATTACACACACAGCGCGACCACTTCAAGAACGCCGCTCGCGCTTGCGGGACCACTGGTGCCGACTAAAATAAGACGCTCCATGTCAACAAGCCACTCCCCTTCAACAAAGCAGCGCGAACTGCAATCACACTGCAGAAAGCTCAATATTTGTCTTAGCGACAGCGGAAGCGGTGACCTCCGTGAATCCGCCATTGCAACTCCGCAGCGCCCTTTCATGTTCATTTGAGTTGTGATATAGACAGGATTACGCTCGAACGCCGACGGCGTTTGCCTAACAGCGCCTCGCATGTGTCAGCTGCGGCGAGCTGTTAAGTGTTATTCACTCGCGAAAGCACAATTGTGTTTAGCATGTTATTTTACCCCACCACCACTACAAAAAAAATCAATAAAAAAAGGCACTCGCCTGTTGTGTCTCAGGATTACCCACAATGGTGCTACTAGCACAGCACGCTAAGTGGAGTGCTGCCGAGTTCGGTGGCACGGGCTCGATTGCCGGCCACGGCGGTGGAATTTCGACAGGGGTAAATGCACATGAACAACCACGTGCTAAAATCTAATTGCACTTTGAAGAACCCCAAGTCGTCAAAATTATTCCCGAAGTACTAATACAACAGCGTCTCGTTAGTGATTACTCATCATGTCGTGGTTTTTGTAAATAAAATCTAAGCAATTCCGTTGCGACCCAGAAGCCAGCCGACTTCAAGTGCACGCTGGTAACCACATTGTTGTCGTGACAAGTTTAGCGATGTGTAGATTGATAAGCCCATGGCTTTTTCCGTCGCCAGCCGAAAAGAAAACCAAGCACGCTTATGACGCCTTTGACGGTGCGGTTTGAGCCCGCTGCACACGCGACTGCTCTTGTACTACTTGCTCATTACTGAAGCTGAAAGGTTCCACAAACCTGCACCAACAAAACCTACCGTACTTCAGTTCCTGCACTCGCAAAAAGTTGTGCGGCAGAACAACGACGAAGGACGGCTTTCGCCGGTTGCCGTATGGCGGCGCCACCGTATACCTGAAAGGTGCGAATTGTGTGAATCTTAAAGCTTGGAAGCGCGCAAAATCGACGAGGACAGGAAGGAGCACAGAAAGATAGCACAGGGCGCCGTCCTTGTCAATTTTGAGCTTCTAAGTGTTAAGGATATGGCGTAACTAGGGTGAGTTCGAGCGAGTCTGGTCAAGAAAATTTTTCGCAAGCCTCAGTCCAAGTGAGTCTGAGTTCGAGGAGTTTAAAGTGCTAAATGTATTCACTAAGTGAGTGCTTCTTCTATCAAGTAGCGACTTAAACAAAAACCTGAATTTCCTAAAGGAACAGTTACTATATCACGAACTAGCACATCACGTCACCTGGCGATAAGCACCGGCACTGCGTGAAGAGTCGTTCGGATCTGTTTTATCATTTTTAAACATACCCGTTTTATCTTATGCTGATTAAAAAAATTAAAAGGCGCTGACTTTCAGTAGCGGTGCTGCGTTCGCGTGGACTTCACGACAACAAGCGGACCCAAGTAGATCCACGGCGCGCACACAGTGCAGCGAAAAGCAGGGTGCAAACACGAACCATCTTCGCGCTTACCTACAGCGTGTGTACATCGTAGATAGATATGTAGGGTTTAACGTCCCGAAACCACCATATGATTATAAGAGACGCCGTAGTGGAGGGCTCCGGAAATCTCGACCACCTGGGGTTCTCTAACGTGCACCCAAATCTGAGTACACGGGCCTACAACATTTCCGCCTCCATCGGAAATGCAGCCGCCGCAGCCGGGATTTGAACCCGCGACCTGCGGGTCAGCAGCCGAGTACCTTAGCCACTAGACCACCGCGGCGGGGCAACTGAGATATAAGATGTGAAGAAATCAAAGCAAA